CAATTGCACTCATTTCACGTGCTAGCAAGGTCATGCTAAAGATCCTACAAGCTAGGCATCAGCAGTACGTGGATAGAGAACTGCCAGAAGTACAAGCTGGGTTTCGATGTGGTAGAGGAACTAGAGATCAAATTGCCAACATTTGCTGGATTATGGAGAAAGCAAGAGAGTACCAGAAAAAGATCTACTTCTGCTTCATTGACTATGCTAAAGCCTTTGATTGTGTGGATCACAACAAACTATGGCAAGTCCTTAAAGAGATGAGATTTAGCATAGGAAAAGGAGTACGACAAGGATGTATATTGTCCCCTTGCTTATTTAATTTATATGCAGAGTACATCATGCAAAATCTTCGCCTAGATGATTCAGAAGCTAGAATTAAGATTGCTGGGAAAAAGATCAACAACCTCAGATATGCAGACGATGCCACTCTAATGGCAGAAAATGAAGAGGACCTAAAGAGCCTCTTGCTTAAAATAAAAGATGAGAGCGCAAAAGTTGGCTTTAAACTCAACATCAAAAAAACTAAGATCATGGCATCTGGCCCCATCACTCCTTGGCAAATAGAAGAAGTCGTGGAAGCAGTGACAGACTTCACGTTCCTGGGATCCAAGATCACTGCAGACGGTGACTGCAGCCATGAAATTAAAAGACGCCTGCTCCTTGGGAGGAAAGCAATGGCAAACCTAGGCAGCATAACAAAAAGTAGAGACATCACCCTGCCAATTAAAGACAATATGGTCAAAGCAATGGTATTCCCAGTAGTACTGTATGGCTGTGAGAGTTGGACTATAAGGAAGGCTGAGCACCAAAGAATAGATTCTTTTGAATTATGGTGCTGGAGAAAACTCTTGAGAGTCTGTGGGCTGCAAGGAGATCAAATCAGTCAATGCTAAAAGAAATCAACCCTGACTGTTCCCTGGAAGGCCAGATACTGAAGCTGAAGCGCAAATACTTTGGCCACCAAATGAGAAGGGAGCACTCACTGGAGAAGACCCTGATGCTGGGAAAGATTGAAGGTTAAAGAAGAAGGGGATGGCAAAGGATGAGATGGTTAGACAGTGTTGTCAATGCAACGTAGATGAAATTGAGCAAACTTCAGAGGACGGCGGAACACAGGAGGGCCTGGCGTGATGTGGTCCATGGGGTTGCGAAGAGTCAGACTTGACTGTGCGACTGAACAATAACAAAAGTGGATACCTCAATGGAAGTGTCAACCCCAGTGTGCTGCACTAGTGAAAAAAGGCAAACTCTGATAGGAATTATTAGGAAAGGGATTGAAAATAAAACGGCTGATATTTTAATGCCCCTGTATAGATCTGCGGTGCAGCCGCATTTGGAATATTGTGTGCAGTTCTAGTCACCATATCTCAAAAAAGACATCACAGAGCTGAAAAAGTACAGAAGAGGGTGACCAAGATGATTAGGGGGTTGAAGCACTTTCCTTATGAGAAAAGGCTGAAGAGTCTGTGACTTTTCAGTTTAAAAACAGAGATGACTAAGGGGAAATATGATAGAGGTTTATAAAATTATACATGGAATGGAGAGAGCGGACAATGAAAAACGTTTCTCTCTCTCTCTCTCAAAATACTAGAACTTTAGGGCATCCAATGAAGCTGGTGGATGCTGGATTAAAATGGACAAAAGGAAATACTACTTTATGCAGCAAGTGATTAAAATGTGGAATTTGCTGCCAGAGGATGTAGTAATGGCCCCAGGAATAGACAGCTTTAAAAGGGGATTAGATAGATTAATGGTGGATATGTCTATCAGTGGCTACTAGCCATGGTGACAGAGGGCCTTGGCCTCTATGCCCTGTTGTTGGCTGTCCAGAAGAACTGGTTGGCCACTGTGTGAGACAGGCTGCTGGACTAGATGGACCACTGGTCTGATCCAACAGGGGTCTTCTTATGTTCTTGAGAGGTCCTTAATATTTTTATCCATATACAATGCAACTTTTCTGCTGAAGCAGCTGATAGCATTCTAAAATAATTATGAATTTTATATTCTTATTCCAACTTGCAGAAGTTCATATATGAATGTTTATTTGCTTACCATCTGTGTAGTCCTCTGAGGAAGTGAGTGATAGAAGGCTTTGCACATCACTGCTTTCTGAGTCTGGAGCTTCTTTGTGCCCGGATCTACTAGTAGACATACCAGCTACCCAGGAGGAGGAGGTGGCTTGATGCACTAGAACAGCCTCTGAATGGTGAGAACTGCCCGCTTCACATAGTCCAGAGTGTCCAGGGACTTCATCCCCCCCAGCAAAGCAGCTACGATCCACTTGGTCCGGTGTTGGCTGTTGCATCTCCCTTGTTTCACTCTGTCCAGCTCCCTCTGACAGGACAATCTGTACTCGTGAATCTGAGGGAGGGATGAAGTTCCCAGTACTGCCGTAAACAGCTTCTTCATAGGATGGCAAAGCCACCTGAACGCCATCTACCACGATGGAAACCTGGTCCCCAGAAACACCTTGATCACGCCTGCATTCAGATTTTAAAGAAATATTATGTTTAGCATTTGCAGAATGCTATGCTGGCAGAGTTCTTAGAGTTAACATTCCTTCAGACACACAAATTTCTCCACACCCTGCTCATTTCACAGCTGGATATGCCTTTAATTCAGTTGGTAGCAAGGACACATATATGGTTAAATTTGCTGTGCAGCGCCATGCAACTGTTAACTCTTGCTTTACTAAGGTTTGTTGAAAGGCCTGTTCTCATTCTTCTTCTTGCTGCTTCACACAACACCAGGAAAGGAATTACACAGAAACTGAAGCTGATTGTCACAGAACACACTCAGGCAAGTGCCTGAAGGCTCAGTGTGGACAGGACCACCGTGTCATAATGAAGTCAAGAGTTGGGACCAGCTCAACATTTTGTGTACTGACCATAAGCAAATTTCAAATCACCTGCACTGCAAAGAAAACTTTATGCATTAGATGGCCAGCTTAAGCAAGGGTATCTCAGGGCAGGGAAGCAAGAGATGACGAATTATCTGCGCCTAAGTGCAGGTATGAGCTAACATTTTTAATCCAAACCTTTCTAACACAAAATAGGGGCTGAACTATTTTGCTCCTTCCAACCAGTGCAGAGATCCTGCTTGCAGCCATCACTGGATACCAGTTTTTCTCCCCTCTAGATACCAAAGTGAGGGCAGGAAGCACTGTATGGTCAGTGACTTCTGGCTCTTGCTGTCTGACTGGCATTTTGCAGAGCCCATGTAGGGAGAGGTGTCATTTAGGACTTGAGCAAGTACTTGAGTGAAGAAAAAGTCCGCATTTGAAGTCTCCATTTCTCAAATGTATAAGGATACAGGTTCAGCTCAAGCTCCTGCCCACAGCCCAGGGTGCATGTTGAGCTAGCATCTGATGCGGTGGTCCATCTGCACTCTTTATTACCCATCCCTGCTGTACATGGATCAACTTCCTTACTTAAGTTACCTGGAGATATTTGTTCTAAGCAGCCTCCTGTACAAATGGTGGCTTATATTTGATCAGATTTATCAAGTCATAAATCTGAGTTAACCTGGTAAGTGGCTGGCTCTGCATCGGCAGGCAAGATGGAAAGAAATGTGTGCGAATACCTGCAGGGCCTCCCCATATTTTCATTCTCTTTGCCCTGTCCATTCACTGACTGTTTGTGTTTCCCAATTACACTCCTCTGCCATATGCAATCAACATCACAGTTACTGAAACAACAAAATAGATACAGCATAGCATAGATGTTGCTGATGGAAGCATTTCCATCAGTGGAGAACAATTTTCTCAATGCTCTCCTCCAGCTGCAGCACAAAATACCCCCCAAGCTGCTCCAAGAGGGATGGGGGAGTCTGAGGCCTATAGCAGGTGGCAGAAATTGGCAAAAATTGCACTCCTTCTACCCACAGGAAAGTTGGATGGGATCAAACCTTATAGGTGTTACAAGACTAATGTGAGGGCAACTAGCAAAAGAAGATGGAAAAATACTGCACAAAGCTTGATTGCTTGCATTATAAAAATACACGTTCCTTAACGAAAAACATTATAAAAACATTATTCTTCCTATTATTGGATTGTTTTGGGAAGAGTCTAATCAACTTAAGGCTGTCAGACCTCTAGGGAATGCAAGAACCCTATAATCTTCAATGATTAGTTTCTTAAAGACAAAAGATATTAGTGTTCAAGGCTCTCTGGAGGCCCTTCCCTAATATATGATCTGGTGACCAGTACAGGGGTGTGTATTCAGATACACCTGGGCCAAAGATATACCCGAAAAATACCTTATCAGTATTTTTGAGTATATTCAGCACCCCAAACAATAGTTTCAAAAAATCCCAGAAATACTGAGGAACTACTGGGAAGATTGGGAGTCAGCATTTGCAGGCTCCCAGAGACCAGTATCTTTTCCTTTCTCTCCCCCCCCCCCACTTTTCTGGAATGCTTTTTGTCAATTTCAGATAAGTTTTGTCAGTTTCAAGAAGTTTTCTTCTTTGCAGCCTTCCTTTGTGTTCCATTTCTGGGTTTTTTGCACAGTACTTGCAAAATCCCGGTTTTTTTCCCATTCCTTGCAAAATCCCCCCCCCCCCGCTTCCATTTGTTGGGATTCTGTGCTTTGATATCAGTTCTGTTAATTTTGGTGCCTGTACCTTTGAAAATAACTCCCCTAGCCACCCAGAAACCTTTAAAAACAACTCCCCTAGCCATTCCCCATAGGAATTAATGGACCCCAAAAAATCAGAAACCTGAAAAAGGCCGGAATCCAAATTCCATACTGGTATTTGGAATTTAGGAATATCAAGAATACTAATATTTCTCATATGTGAATATGAGTTTTAGAATTTCATTACTACAATTTATGGTGAACTGGAGGGGGGAAAAAGAAGCTATTACGAGACTTTAACCATACATTGATTCTGGGTTGGGTACAATCTTCCAGATTGAATTTTATCTCCTCCCCCTTCCCTCAGCCTCCTGAAAAGCTGCTGCCGAGGGTCAGGGATTCAAGTGGTGTTGTGTGGGGGTGGGCTGAGGTGGGGTGGGGAGGCTTCAGCAAAAAGGGGCATTCAACTGAAACCACCCAGTTCCATTCACACAAGAGTGCTGAAATGAATGTTCTAATTTAGACACAAACCCAAAAAACCAAGTCGAGAACTGAATGTTATTTTAAATGTTCAAATCAAACAGGAACATAAGCTTCAGTGACTCTGCAGTTCATAGCTTATGGTAACTATCAGAATTACTGGAACAAGCCAGGAAGCTGGGGGGAGGAAAGGAGAGAAGAGGCCTGTGCACACAAACCAACTCCTTTTTTAGTCATTAATTCAAAAGCAAATGAGAAAAGACACTGGAGGACTACATGGTCAGAACGTAAGTTTCAGATCTCTATTTACATTAAGACTGAAGAGTGTAAAAGTCAGAACAGCAGATGGGACAGGATTGTCATAGCCATGAAGAAACAAAGCAGTGCTTGTTACCATGGTCTTCACTGCCTGCTCTCAGACAGACAGACAGACATACAGACAGACAGACAGACAGAGGCGCACCACAAATGTTTCTGGCACTCTTCACAATTTCTGTGTTGTATCATGTGCATGCAGCCCTAGCGTCACCTCCTCACTAAGAAAAGAGTTGTTCTTGACACACATACTGGGCATGGGGAAAAACTGTGCTCCTTAACAAGTATCTGAGACACTTGCCATTTGTTTAAATTATGGATTATTAAAGATGGCAAGAACTATTCCCTTCTCTCGAAGTCATGCCTTTCCTCCATCCCATCAAGAGATACGTTTTACAAGTTCCCACAGACATGATTCAGAGCCCCACACTCTGTAGCACCTGTACTAAACAAACAGAAACTTCTGTCGTGCCCACTGCTGTTTTTACTAGCCATGCTAGTGAAGATATACACACCCGATTCCTACAGCTAAGTCCACATCTAAAATGGTACACATGAGAAACACTTTCTCAAGAAATACCAAGGTTGAATCTTCCCCCATATATGGCAAGAATGCTGTCAGTATGAGGGACCTCCAGAACCTGAACATCCTAAAGCCAAATACAGTCTTTATAGCCCTTGACTTTTGCTGCCTCTCAGGGAACATGAGGCTTATTAAGCCACTCCCAGCCATAAAACATGGCTAGCAGGGTTTGGCAAAGAGTTAACTAAAGGTAAAGGTTCCCTTGCTCGAAAGCCAGTCAAGTCCGACTCTAGGGTTGCGGTGTTCATCTCCGTTTCCAAGCCGAAGAGCCAGCGCTGTCCGAAGACGTTTCCGTGGTCATGTGCCCAGCATGACTAAACACCAAGGCGCACGGAACGCTGAAAGAGTTAACTAGTGGAGGACAAATACATCCATTTACTTTCTTGACAATGGATCCTGTATCTTCCAAAAACATTAGAAAAAAAGTTGCCTAAGAGTGAAGAATAAGATTGAGAGAAGAAGAAAAAAGGCAGCTGGAAAAGAAAGTGAGAATGTAAGCAAGAGACATACACTGGATCTCCTTGAAGCGATTACAATCACAAGCATCTGCCTTTCAGTTGAAGGTCATCCCCACGAACTCACCTGCTGTGATGAAAAGACTTCAACTTTGGCTGCAGCAAAACGAACAGTACAATTAGAAGGAGGATGAGGGCCACTGAGCTTGCTGTGGAAGCCACTATGGATAGAGTGGGCACTCCTATACTTGGAGGGGAATCTTTATCTGTAAAGCCAAAGCAAATGATTTTTAAACTGGTTTCATCTCAGGAAGCAGCTGTTTGCCATCAGCACCACACAAAAGACTGCAAGCCGGGCAAGCAAGCAGAATTACAATCACGGTCCTGCTTTCATCTGGCAAACCTGACCTCAGTTCATACCATGTGAAACTGGCCAGACTCAAATGTATTAAAACAACCATGGAGCAGGAGTGTGTCTACTAGACCAGTGACACTCACTACAACACCATTTCACTGACATAATTTGGCCTTTTTTTCACTGTATTGAGCAAACATGGCCATGTGAACACAGTGTCTGGATAACTGAGTTGCTGCCTTATGAATCATACTGGTGAAGTATTTTGAGAAAGACAACAGACTCTGAGATTCAGAGCTGTAATTCCAATACACTGAATGTATTTAACTTTCTTTAAAAAGTGCAACGCTCCGCACCCCAACACCCCTTTTAAATACTGAATTAGTTTCAGCACAATATCCAGCTTACATGGAATTTGTGCTCTTTTTCCATGAACTTTTATTCACACTCTTCCCCTCCTTCCTGGCCCAAACCTCACGGTCAATTAAAGCAACATGACAAACATTTTCCTGCAGACTTCTTGGCTTTCTTTCATGGGAAAGGAATTCCTATCCAACACAGCAAAATCTCGCATGACATAACTGTCCACTTCCTTTTGGAAAGACAGCCAACAGTACTACATGAGAGCTGTTCCCGAGACAGGAAAGGCAGAGAATGCAGCATTCTGCAGCAGAAGGCAATCCAGCAGCATCGGAATTTGCCCCAACAAGTTAATGACCTCTTAACTCCAATCTTACTTCAGTATTTACACTACCAACTTAAAATGGCTCTAACAGTAATTTACTCCCTAGGAGACCATGTGGATTTATTGGGATGGTATGAGAACCTAGAGACTGATAGCAAAATTCTCACCAAAATACGCTTCTTTGGATTCTCTGAATAAAGCCCACGACAGAAAGTGGTTAAAAAAAAAACACAACATCCTCAGGTTTACTCAAGTTTAGCCATAGTATTATTTAGAAGTCTTTACTTGAAAAGCTTGGACAAGAACATTGAAACTCCGTGTACAACAATGCTTAACTAACCTTGGCTGAGCCTACAAGTCACCTCCATGACTGGGTCCCACTTTCCATCCTTGCAGGTCAGGTATTTGTAGTCTCCTTTCAGCATGAAACCTTCTTCGCACACATACTCTATGACACTGCCAGATGTCAGTGGGTCTTTGCAGGATGTTGGATGGCATATATAACCCCCATTCTCTGGCTCCGGTGGCTGTGAACAAGCTACAAACAAAGAAGGTATGATGCAAGCAGTGAGTGCAAACTGAGCCTGAAAGCCAGCAGGAAATAAAACCAGATCCCCCCCATGAGTTGATAAGAAACAGACACTATTAAAAACCTTTGGCAAAGCAGCACAGAGCACCACTGATTCCCACACAGCGTAGCAGTATGTCAATTCATTGTACTTCCTGGCTGGGGGAATGGACTCAGTATGCTTTGGTGACAGAGGTACAACTTGGTCTCCTGGAATCAGTTTTATATTTACCACAGGAGACCAGGCAAGGACCTACTTACAGATATCAGTCACTGCAGCTGGATCTCCTCCAGCAGTTGCCCCAAGGCTGCAGGAGTGATTGGAAATGACACTTGGCCTCTATGACCAGACAGAAGACTGATGGCCGTGGGGCAACTGCACCACTGCCACCCAAGCAAGGCCACTAGTGAGGAAAGATCAGCCTGGCCCAAAGCTACTGGCAGACAAGGTATGCAAATGAAGGTGCTTCTCTTAAAAAAAATGAGAATTGCAGCCTCACAACATTTCAATCAGCAGAGAGTGTACAGACACTTAATTTTTCATTTGTTGGACATTTTTCTGCTCAAAAAATGTGGCTTTTCTATTGTACATTTTGAGAGACTGCCAAAGCAAAAAAAAAAGGGGGGGGCGTTTAACCATAACCATCTCCATGTCCTACAGTTCTTCTGATCAAAACCACGGCTCTCCAAGGGTGCTTTTCACTTTTTAAACAGTGTCAAGGCTTTATTACATTACATACCTTTGCAAATAATCGGCAGTTTACACTTAAGAGAGCCATATGTGGCATGACCAACTAACTTTTTTATCAGTGCACAGAAAATTTACTAGCAGTTGCTCTAATCCTTCCTCCCGGCTTACTTTCTTCTATTTTAGTACCAAACCAAGGAATGACAATGAGATGTACCACTTCACAGGCATTAGCATGTAGTGGATCTTAGCTGTTAATTAATTTATTTTATTTAAATTATTTATAGTCTACCTTTCTCACTGGGACTCAAGGCAAATTATGCAAAAATTACATAGCAGAATCCTATTTATTTATTTATTTATTTAATTCGATTTGTATCCCGCCTTCCCCACCCAGGCAGGCTCAGGGTGGCTCACATTAAAAAGTTAAAATGCATGAAACACAATACAACATCATAAAACTCATATACGTAACAGATAACAAATAAAGTGCTAGTGGCGGTAACATTGCATTATGATCCCCATGGATCATGATAAGATGGTAACAAAAGAATGTGGCCAAAGGCTGTTGTTGTTGACATCACAGGCTGTTGATGTTGACACAGAAGGCCCTACCACAGTTCAGTTGTTATTGGTAGCGGCTCCTAATCAAAGGCCTGGTGGAAGAGCTCTGTTTTGCAGGCCCTGTGGAACTGTAAGTGGTCCCGCAGGGCCCTGATGTCTTCTGGGAGCTCATTCCACCAGTATGAGCTGCTACTGAGAAGGCCCTGGCCCTGGTTGAGTCCAGTCTGGCGTCTTTCGGTCCAGGGAGGGCCAAACGGTTTTGAGACCACCTCAGTGCTCTCTGGGGAACATGCAGGGAAAGGTGGTCGTCTGTGAGGGCGACCAGTGCTGTCTCCATCTCATGGCCTGGGCGAAAGCATGGAAGTATCCATAAAGCCCTGCAACTGTATCACCACCACTCCCTCAATTAATTTGCTCAAATAGGGCAAATTGGAAACCAGTCAATAGTTCACCAATTCGGCCAGATCCAGGGATGGTTTTTTAAAGAGAGGGTGGACCATCGCTTTCTTGAGTGCCCCCGGGAACAGTCCCTCTGAGAGGGACTTGTTAATAATTTCCCTAAGGGCACCTCGAAACCCCTCACAACCAGCTTTAATTAGCCATGAAAGGCACGGGTCAAGGCTGCACATGGTTGGGCATGCCGTCGAGAGCAATCTGTTGACTTCTTCTAGACTGAGTGGACTGAAATAATCCAAAATAGGACTAGAAGACATGCATGGAGCCTAGAATTCACTCACTGTCTCAATTGTGGTGGGAAGAGCGACAAGACCTTATTTGCAAAATAGCTCGCAAAAGCCTCACAGCCAATGTCCAGTTCCCTAGCATTTGGTCTGCCCTGTGGCAAGACTGTAAAAGACCAAATAGTTCTAAACAATTGGGCCAGGTGTGAGCTTGCAGACGCAATCGTGGCTGCATAGAACTCTCTCTTTGCGGCTTTGATTGCCATCTCATAGGATCTCATAAATGTCCTGTAAGATGTTCTTGTAGTTTCATTGTGTGTACACCGCCAGTGTCTCTCTAGCCATCTTAGCCTCCATTTCATGAGCCACAGCTCCTGGGTATACCAAGGAGCTAGCCTAGAGCGAGGGCGCAGAGGGCATCGGGGAGCTATCTCGTTGATGGCTGCAGAAAGTTGGCTGTGCCAGTCCTCTACGAGCTCATCCAAAGAGCCGCTTGGGGGCATCAGGTCCTGGAGAGCCATCTGAAGCTGCATAGGGTCCATTTGGCTTCACAGGGAAGCTAAAATACACTCACCGTGCAAACAGAGTTGGGGTGAAACATTCAGACAGGCTTACAGGGCATGGTGGTCCAACCATGGCACTGCCGTAGCAGTGATCCAGGCCACTGTAACCCCTGCTGCGAAGATCAAATCAAGCATGTGCCCAGCCCAATGAGTGGGAACCATTACATATTGGGAGAGTCCCAGTGCCGCCGTGGACGACACCAGGTCTGTCACCTGTATGGAGACTGCATCATCTGCATGGACATTGAAGTCACCCAGGACTATCAGTCTAGGGTGCTCCAATGCCCAGCTTGACACAGCTTCCATTAGGGACAGCAGACTAGTTACCCGTGTGTTGGGTGGATGGTACACCACCCAAATAGCCAAACTCTCCCCGGCTTCCCACACTAGGCTGGCACACTCAGTGCCTGTAAGCTTTGGCGGTGGGAGCGCCCTGAAGGAGTAAGCCTACCGAATGAACAGGGCCACTCTGCCCCCCACCCCCTAGTCTGTGATTGGTGGAGGACCAAATACCTGGGTGGAGCCAACTGGGAGAGAGCTACTGTCTCCCCATCTCGCACCCAGGTTTCGGTCATGCATGCCAGGTCTACATGTTGCTCGAACAGGAAGTCCCAAAGGACCATGGTTTTATTATTGATAGACCTGGCATTACACAACACCAGTGATGGAGGGGGGGGGTCAATTAACCTAGCCCCACTACCTACCACCTTCAGGATGGGACACAGGCTGGAAGGAGACCAAGCTAGTTTACTTCTCTGTCTCCTTCCCTTGTAACTATGCCTGTTCCCACTGCTATACTTTCCCCTCCCCAGGAGCACTGATATCCCCTGCCCTGTCAGCACCATATCTGGGGATCTTCGCCAGGCCTCAGACCTGTCCGTAGAACTGGCTGGCTGACAATACAGTACAAATGCCTGTAGTGGATATGCTTCAGTGCTGCTGAACTCTAAAGACCCTAATCTCTCCTGCTCACAGATCTGTAAATTCCCTGATTATAGGTTCTTCAATCTACAACTAATCTCCTAATCTGATTGTTAATATATCTATTACACTTAGCCAGTAATTTCAAAAAGGCTGGTGATTAATCGCTACTCAATAATAATAATATAATTGCTTAACAATTAATCAATTTTACAAATCAACCTTATAAATCAATAATCAGAAGTCAAATTCATATCAGAGTATGCCAATACTTCCTACTATAATCAGTTTTATAAAATGGATGACCAGCCAAATAATTAACTAGTCAGCCAATCAATTTGGATCCTCAACTTGAACCCCTAATTTAACTAAACTAAGAACAACCCTAACCATTTCAGTTTCAGTAAGCTATTCATAGTTGTATAGACCATTATCCAAGTAACTTTGTGAAAAATTTAGTACAGTGCACTCTACTGCCTGCATACAAAAGCCCTCTTGAATAATTCAGTTTTGCATAGATATTGGAAAGCCAGGAGAGTGGAAGCCTTCCTGGCTTCCTCAGACAGCCTGTTCCATAGGGTGCAGGCCACAATGGAGAAGGCACATGTACAGGCAGTTCTTCATTTTGCCCACTTGCAGACTGAGCGAAGCTGTCGAGGCAGAGAGTACTGGGAGAGGGTCCAAAACCATGAAAGGCTTTGTATGTGAGATCTAATATCTTAAAATGAGCCCACTAACTGATGGGCTGCCAGTGAAGTGCCTGTAAGACAGGAGCAATATGCATGCTCCATCCAGCTCTCAATAATAGCTGAGCCACAGAATTCTGCACCAACCAAGTTTCTGAATTGATTTTGATGGGAAACCAACGTGCAGTATATTACAGTAGTCTACTCTTGCTGTTACTGTGGCATGGTTCCAGGTGGCCAGATCAGCTGTAAGGGGCTGTCTTACAGACTAGGAACTTTGTTGTATGTTCCTGCCTTCTAAACTGGAATTGCCAATGAAACTCAGAAACCTATGCTTGCAAATTAAAGCAGAAAATGAAAAGAAAGCCTCTCTCCTCAGAGTCAAAGACCTTGTTGAAAAGCAAAAACACTTATTTGTTGGCAAAATATTAACTGGATTTAGTGTGATTACAAAGTGACCTCCATTTTTATTATCAGGTCACCTCATACATCCTACCCCTCATTCCACCTGACCTTTTCTCCTCCAAGTTAAATAAAATATTTTGTTTATTTTTGAACTTTCAAAAGCCTCTCATGTGCCATTACAGGAGTAGAATATAAGCAGGTAATTTTGTCTCTTCCCTCAAGTCTCTGGGCTGGGCCAGCATCAAAATATATAATTGTTTCACAGGGTGGGACAGTCATAGACCAACAATTAAGAAGAAAATAGATATAGGGGCTGCTCAGCAAGAAAGAAGAAACTAAGGGAAAATCCTGTGCGTGAGGAAGGGAAGAGGGTGAGATCACCATAGTCCCCCCACTGTTCTCATCACTTTGCCAAGAAAGGGAAGGTCAGAGACTGGGTAATAATTGGCCACATTATTTTTCT